GTCTTAGAACATTTGGAAAATTCAGGACTTCGATTAAATAAAGAGAAATGTACATTTCTTTCTGATATGGTTGAGTACTGTGGTCAACATATTACTGAGGAAGGTGTTCAACCCATACCGGGAAAAGTGGATGCATTTTTAAAGGCACCAGCGCCTAAGAATATTCAACAACTCCAGTCATATCTGGGAATGATAAACTTTTATCATAAATACCTCCCAGATATTGCTACGATTTTAGCACCAATGTATAAACTGTTACAGAAAAATACTGTGTGGAACTGGGGATATTCTCAACAGTCTGCTTTTGAGAAATCAAAACAATTATTAATATCAACTGAAATATTAACTCATTTTGATACCGACAAGGAACTTGTGGTAACATGTGATGCTTCTCCGTACGGAGTAGGAGCTGTTTTAGCACACAAGGCTGATGACGGATTTGAAAGGCCAATATCTTTTGCATCTAGAACGTTAAATAAAGCTGAACAAAATTATTCTCAGTTAGACAAGGAAGGACTAGCTCTGGTATTTGCAGTTAAGAAGTTTCATACATACCTATATGGAAAACGATTTGCTATGTTTACGGATCATAAACCGTTATTAGGACTATTTGGTGAAAACAAACTGATTCCAAGTTTAGCATCTGCTAGAATACAGAGTTTAACCTTAGCTGCATATGAGTATAATCTAATGTATCGTCCTGGTAAACTTAATACAAATTCCGATGCGTTGAGTAGACTACCATTGAAGGACATCAATAAAAATGACCCAGTACCTGTGCCTGGTGAAGTAATATGTACATTAGATGTACTGGATAATTCTCTAGTAACGTCAGTTGATGTAAAACGATGGACATCCAGAAACTCTCTTTTATCAAAAGTGTTACGATATACACAACGTGGATGGCCAGAGAAGTGCACTTCGAATGACCCATTACTCCCATATTGGATTCGTTGTGATGAAATATCAATTCAAGATAATTGTTTATTGTGGGGTTCACGTATGGTTATACCGCCTCAAGGTAGAAGTGCAATTCTTGAATTATTACACGAGACACATCCTGGTATTGTGAGAATGAAATCTCTGGCCAGAAATTATGTATTTTGGCCAGGAATGGACAAAGAAATTGAAATGAAAGTGCGTCAGTGCAATGATTGTCAAGTCATTAAAGGGAAGACAACTCCTATAGCGGTACATTCATGGGAGTATCCAGCCAAACCTTGGTCAAGATTGCACATTGACTATATGGGACCATTTCAAAATCAAATGTTTTTGATTGTTATAGATGCTTATTCAAAATGGATTGAGGTTTATCCGACCTCAAATTCCACATCTACCGCAACGATACAATTTCTATGTCAAGCATTTGCTACTCATGGCATAACCAAGACCATTGTAAGTGATAATGGTACATGTTTTGTTAGTAATGAGTTTAAAACATTTTTGTATCAACATGGTATTCATCAAATAACTAGTGCTCCGTATCATCCAGCTTCAAATGGATTAGCAGAACGTGCAGTTCAGATTATTAAAAATGGACTGAAGAAATCCAACAATTTGGCAAAACTATTATTTCATTACAGAATTATTCCTCAAACGACAACTGGTCAATCGCCAGCAGAATTGTTGATGGGACGGAAATTACGGTCAGTGTTAGATTGTGTTTACCCAAACGTTTCTAAAAGGGTAAGGGAGAGACAGGAGAAGTATGGTTATAATCAACAAGACGCAAAAAGATCAAGAGACTTTTCAATTAGTGATGATGTCTTTGTGTCCCGACTAGGAAATATTAAAACAAATTGGATTCCGGGAACTGAATACTGATGTTCAGGTTCGACTAAATGATAACACTACAGACGGCACAAGGATCACGTTAAACATAGATTTAACCCTAGTTCAGAAACAATTATTATAAATCAAAATCCAGTACAACCCCCAAGTTCAACGGTTGTACAGATAAATAGACCATCACAGCCGCATATCAATGGTAATGAAAATCCTGTTAATGGTGACAACAAAGTTATTCCAAATGGAGATCCTGCAACAACTGATGCTACTAATTCAACTGACCGCCAGGAAGACTCCAAATTAACAGCTGCCACTATGCCTACAATTCATACCAGACCAAATCGGATTAAAAACCAACCTACACATTTTAAAGCCTTTGTAATGTAAAGTGTGTTTGTATTTTCTGAACAGTAAATTGTTAATCCGAAACTTGAATCACAGAAAGTGACATTTTAAAATATTTAGTTAACCTTTTTTCTAAGTTTAAAGTTATTTTGAAATGTTATGATTGTTCATTCTTAAAGGGTAAGGAATGTTATGTATTAATCTTTGGTTACTTAATACATGTATACTTGATTACGTTATAGTATTGAAATAAGTACACTGAGTACATTATGGTTATAGTGACTTTTGACCTTTCTAACATAATACTACTTCCTAGCTGTCTTATGACCAATCATATACAAGGAAAACCATGCGGTCTGCGGTCCGACATGTTATTATTGTAGAAACTGACTCAGTACAAATATATAAAGTATGTTCATTTAAAACATGTGTTAGCTGTTTGAATATATTACAGTCAACATGGTACAAGAACACGTGTGACGAATGAAAATAGGGTTGGCGTACATTTCTGTAGACGGATGGAGATAGTAAAACAATTGTTATCAGAATGATTACAACATGTATTTAGAATGTGTTGATAGGTATAATGTCAGGTTGATAATTAAATCTACGTCAATATTATTAGTTCCTCTAATCTAAACACATAAACGTAAAACAAAGAAGGTAAGTGTGTGGTGTGTCAAAACAATAATTTCATATTGTCGTACTACGTTAGTACGGAACAATATGACTATCCTATTGTGAAAGGTGTTAAAACAATCACACAATAGACTCAGGACTAGTAATTAAATGTATTTAGGCACAAAAGGGTATAAATATTGATGTATTTGATAGAGGGGTATTTGTCTACGATATCACCTTAGGTGGAAGTGGACGTAAAACCTCAAAAACCAACCAACCATAGAGGGGTATCACAAATCTTATTTGTATTGCTTAAGTCAAGTCTGTTTTAGAACTAGTAATATTTTATAAATTTGGAATCATGGAGAAATGGTTATCTAATAGTAATACCGGTAGCCCTTGTTCAAAGCGAAAACGGGATGAAAATGATGACCCTGTCTTTTCAACCCCATCTAAAAAGAGATTTAGTAAAGATTCGTCTCATAGTAGTTTTGATTGGTAGCCTATGTGTTGGATGAAAATGATAAATGGCACTGTAAACTGTGTAGAGCTGCCCTCAGTGATAATGCATATGCAAAGGGACATGACATTCCAGCTAAAACCACCAACTATTTTTAATTTTACAACGGCCTTAATAGAGTGGAAGGCCCATAGCTTTTACCAAAGATATTTTTTGTATTTATATATGTTATTTGTTATTGATGTTTATTTAATGTTTGTTTTATTGTTAAATGTTATTTATTATCACAGTAATTTTGATACCAGTAAGAATATGATGACATACTGAAATAAATATATGTATGCAGCTAAACGATGTTTGTTTATTTATTTAGCATATTGACTGTGTAACGACTTGGTAAGATTGGTTGCAGCAAGGCATGAAATATGACCTCTCCTTCAAGTCTCCCTCACTTCTCCCTATTCTGTCTGTAGGGAGAAGTCACTTCTCCCTAAAATTTGTCCCTAGTTTGAGCCCTGTCTGATATGCGCGAATATCGAAAGGAAGCGAGATCTTTGGGATATAAACATACATTTTAAGTTTCATCAAAATCGCACAAAAATTGTCACCTTGGTATTACATACTTTTACACTACAGGAGCGGCCATTTTGTTTGGTAGTTTTGGTCCGATTTTTACGAAATTCGAACTAAACCATCGTTTTTCTTAATAAATTTCTGCACATAAATCGGATTTCCTAAGTCCGATCTTCCCTCAACTCCGATCAAAATGTTCGGTCCATTTGATCTAATTCCTGAATTTTTCCTTCGCCTAAGTCGGATCGGCAGTATGTTCAGAATTTCACTGTCAGTTTCTTCCCGATGGTCTAAAACAAGATTAGGTATTCCATGCACAGAGCCCAAAAATACTTTCCTCTAGCATTTTGACTCAAAACAGCCTATTTGATGCGATGTAATAATAGAATTTTCCTGGAAGATTCGGAACCTGCTGTCTGCTGTACGAGACACTTTCCGGGAAAATTTAGGACATTTTTCACAGATGGCGACAAAACGGAAGTTATCTACTCGCACCAAAATGGAATTTATCTACTTGCACATACAAACAAAAGCTTGAAATGTGCCTTTGAATCAATTATTATCCGGCTCTTGCAGTTTATTTCTAATCGAGCCAAGACTGAATTTCAGTCTTCGGCTAACTTGGATCATCGATTAACTCGGATAAAATTGTTCAGTCCACTAAGATCCGACTTATGCAATGTTTACTGTATATTCAAACAGTTTTTTAAATCGGATAAAAACGTGCTTTTTCGCTCAATCAGAGGCTATAATCCAAGAAGTTACGGACCGATATGTGCGAATATCGAAAGGAACCGAGATCTTTGTTATATAAACATATTTTGTAAGTTTAAGTTATGGACCGATATGTGCAAATATCGAAAGAAACCGAGATCTTTGGTATACAAACATATACTTTAAGTTTCATCAAAATCTAGAGGGTACACAAGCTAAAAACCTGATATTTTGTACAATCAGGGGGCATAATTCATGAAGTTACGGTCCGATACATGCCAATATCGAAAGGAACTGAGATCTTTTGGAGATAAACCTATATTTCACGCTTCGTCAAAATCAGATAAAAATTGTGACCTGTAGAGCGTCCACAAACAAATTCCAGACGTCCAGATGGACAGGGGCGACGGCAATATACCACGTGAAAATGTTGGCTTATAAAAATCACTTTCCTGTAGTGTTTAATATTATAAGAAGTGAGTAAAAATAATTAGATTACCTTTGCCATTTCCAAGTTTTCACAAACTATTTTTAGCAGTGGTGAATAATCACCTCTTGTAACATTAAATTTGATTGGTCCAGCTGTGTCTGTCGGTGAGAAGGCATGTTCACCTAATATTTTATCACTATTATATCCTGGAATCTCTCCATCTGCTACAAATATGAAATGACAATATTTAGCAAATGATTTCAAAAAGTAAAATGGGGTATAAATCCTAGACCTGATTAAGGTTAAAGATAGGTTGCCAGGCAACGAAACATACGCCCACAGCAGCTAAATAAGTGTTGTCACATATTTTTACTTTTTTCGGTAATGAAACATTTATAATACACTAAAATCTGATTAAGAGTAACAACTCATGAAGTAATTATCAGAAAACCATTAGAATTTGTTTGGTTTTTATAAACTTTTAATATCATGGATTTAGCTGTTCAAGTCATAAAAGTTCATTGAAATTCAATATACTTGTTCGTCTCAAGATCTTAAACTCTGTGTATCAATCTGAAGTCAATCAGATAACTTTAGCCTCTAGAGCGTCACAAGATTTTTCAAAGTGATCAAGGGCCATAACTTTGGCAGTAATTATCGGAAATCGTTGAAAATCAATAGGATTATTCATCTCATGACCATTAACACTGTGTATAAATTTAAAGTCAATCGGATATTAACGTTGGCCTCTAGAGCGACCACAAGATTTTTAAAAGTAATCAAGGGCCATAACTCTGGTAGTAATTATCGAAAATCGTTGAAAATCAATTGTAGATGCCAGACGCATTTTATTTGATGTGTGCAATGCTTATGTGGAAACCTGTTTAATGGTTTCATTGGTACCGGAAGTGACATGTTTAGGGTAACGTGGCACCGGTGAAACCCGTCATTACTGCATCGCAGTTCTAGTTTGATCTGCTATTAATAAAAAAAGATAAGGGAAGACGTAACATATATATTTCGTTAAGTATCACAAAAAAAAAAATACCATGTTTAATTCCGAGTGTCTCGATTCTCAATATATGGATGCCCTATATTTACAACATGATCTACAAACTATTTGTTCTGTAGTGGCCCAAATAAAGCATAATACAATTCAAGCAAAACTAGAAAACCAACAATATCAGTGCTTGGTTGACTCCGGTGCAAGTATAAGTATAATTAGTTACCAAATCCTAAAACAAATTAATAAACATGACTGCATCGAAACAGCAGACTGGTCACAGGTTAACAGTGTTGGTGGTCATTTAATAAGCGTACTGGGTAAAGTTTCACTTAATATTGAAATTGATAATGTTTCATTTCCAATAACATTTCACAATATAATTATAGGTATAGATTTTATGTCTGATATAAAAGCTATTATTAACTTAGAAAACATTACATTTTCTATTGAGGATAAACATATACCAATAATTTCCAAAAATTCAGAAGACGGAAAAGCATATACAAAGGCAGAAGTAACATTACAAGCCAATTCAGAATCTATCATTCCTGTTAAAATTATGAATATACCCAAAAATAACACAATATTACTGGAACCCCATGATAGCTTAGTCAAACATAATATTATAGGTGCAAAATGTATATGTCTTTTAAATGAATCTAACACCTTATTATATAAAGTATTAAACCCTACTAATAGGATTATTGTGATCGAGGAAAATACGCCTATTGCAAATGCTACTTTAATCGATGAAGATTGTCTCCTTTCAAATTTAGATGATGTCAGTACAGAATTGAAATCGATAAACAATTTTAATGAACTTTCCAAACACGAAATTAACGAATATATTACTAAAGCTAACAATTTAGGTTTTGATCTTAATAAAGCACCCCTTGATACATCCTCGGTTACCCAGTGTACTCATTCCGTTCTACTCCACTATACCCTGGGTTAATCCATAGGGTTTCCACGATTTCAAATTATCTGCCCTGGCCTAGAATGTAGCTATACAGTCTACGAACCAATCAGAGAACAGTTTACAAACCAATCTTTTCGCCTTCGTTTTTATAAGGGTAGATAACCATATTCATGTCCATGTACTGAATGATTTATGTAAATAATGTATATATTTATAATTTATTTATATTTAATTGTATTATCAAAATCTGTAGTATGTGTTGTTGATTTCAAATATGTATAACATCTGTATGTTTGACTTTTGTTATTATTATTACTATTCGTTCTTTGTCTGAAATATGTCATTCTGTTATGTTTATTGTCCGACGAGAGATACTTACCTTTGCCAACTTCCTTTTCAAATAACAATTTATGGGATTGGCCGATAAAAATAGCTCAATCATCAAGGGCGGATAACTTGAAAACGTGTCCCCCCCATAGATTAACCCAGGGTATAGTGGAGTAGAACGGAATGAGTACACTGGGTAACCGAGGATGCCCTGGATAATGACGAGAAACTAAAACTGAAAACATTTTTTGGGAAAATGGTGATATCTTTGCTAGGAATGATTCAGAGTTAGGAAAAACTAATCTTTACTACCATAAAATAGAAACTGGTGACAATCCTCCGATAAAATCAAGGCCCTTTAGGGTTACCCCTGAGACTAAGACAATTATTGAAGAGAAAACAAAACAAATGCTAAAAGATGGTATAATAAAGGAATCTAACTCAGACTTCTATTCACCTGTCGTTATAGCTAAAAAGTGTGATAGTAATGAATTGAGATTTTGTGTCGACTACAGAAGGTTAAATAAAATTACAGTTCCATTTTCCTTTCCAATACCAAGGCTGGACGAAATACTAGACACCATAGCAGAATCGGAAGCGAAAATATTTAGCAGCATGGATTTGAAAAATTCTTTCTGGCAAATATCTCTACATCCAGATACTGCCCATAAAAGTGCATTTATAACACACAAACGGATATTTGAGTTCACACGCTTACCCTATGGTCTAATGAATTCGCCGACATCCTTCATGTCCCTGATCACAAAGGTTCTAAAAGGATTATCATGGAAAATATGTCTAGCTTATATTGATGATATATGTTGCTTTAGTAAGGATTTCAATACCCACTTAGTAGCACTTGAACAAATTTTTGACAGATTACGACACGCCAACTTGAAACTGAAGCCTTCAAAATGTAATTTTGCTGCAAAAGAGATCAAATATCTTGGACATATAATTAGCGCCAAGGGAATTCAGACTGACCAGTCGAAAACTGCTGCAGTGGCAACGTTCCCTAGACCTAAATCGCAGAAAGAAGTTAGAAGTTTTTTGGGTTTAACCAATTATTACAGGAAGTTTTATAAAAGGATATTCTATAATTGTTTCACCTTTAACCAATTTGCTTTCTAAAGACAAAAAGTTTGAATGGTCCAAAGAATGCGAAAACAGATATTTAGATCTAAAAAAGGCGTTGAGTACAGCACCAGTCCTCATTTTTCCAAAATTGGATAAACAATTCATTATCCACTGTGATGCATCCAACAATTCTATCGCATATGTCCTATCACAAATGCATGATGGCAAAGAACATCCCATTTCTTATGGAGGGCGTTCACTGCTGAAGGCTGAAAGAAACTGGCCTATAACTGACAAAGAAGGTCTGGCCTTAGTGGAAGCTATTGAAGAATACAGGATATATCTTCAGGCAAACGAGTTCATAGTTTATACGGATCATATTGCGCTAACATGGTTAGCAAATGTTAAAACCCAACAAGCCAACAGTGAGGCTGATGTCCCCCGCCGAAATCCAAAAATAAATAGATGACACATATTTATTAATCGCACATTTATTTTTTTCAAAAGTATCGAGCAATCAAACTATACACTAAGTTTCAGCACTCTCCATCAGATAGAATCAAAGTTATCTTGTCCCAAAGCATCGACTAATAAAAATCATTGAACTCAGCCATGACATGACAGCAGAGAATATTCATTATCGAACTAAGTCAAGGTATTGATGTAATAAAGCTATACACCAAGTGTCCTCACTCTCACTTAATTCGAACTAAAGTTATCGTGTCCCAAAGCATCAACCAATCAAATTGCTTATCCCTGCTTACCCTAAGCAGAAAATTCTCATCTTCAATCTCCATCAAGGCATTGACCTAATAAACACCTACACCAAGTTTGAACATTCTGGCTCAGTTAGAGAGAGTTATTGTGTCCCAAAAAGTGTGACGGACGGACGGACAGACACACCGATTTTAATAGTCCCCTGCTTTCTTCGAAAGGCGGGGGACAAAAATACAAATATTATATAATAAAGAAGTTAAATAACATTTGCAGGAAAACGGAATATGAAACTCGATTCCCTCCTTCCACTACTTATTTATGAGGGCTATCCAGTTATATATCAGCTAAATTGCGATAAAATAATATTTTATATCAATAATTATTATAGCTTGTGCCATCGTGTATTCTATGCCGTTGATTGTGTGTCAACCGAATAATTATTATCTAGTTTATATGCTAAAAACTGTATCACCAAAGGGGGATAATTTAGATAACAAGGTATTACTGTAATGAAACTATACACCAAGTTTCATCAATCTCACTTAATTAGAACTAAAGTTATCGTGTCCCAAAGCATCAACCAATCAAATTGCTTATCTCTGCTTACCCTAAGCGGAAAATGCTCATCTTCGAACTCCATCAAGGCATTGACCTAATCAACACATACACCAAGTTTGAACATTCTAGCCCAATTAGGAAGAGAGTTATCGTGTCCCAAAGCATCAACCAATCAAATTGCTTATCTCTGCTTACCCTAAGCGGAAAATGCTCATCTTCGAACTCCATCAAGGCATTGACCTAATAAACACATACACCAAGTTTGAACATTCTAGCTCAATTAGGAAGAGAGTTATTGTGTCCCAAAAAGTGTGACGGACGGACAGACAGACAGACAGACAGACGGACGAACCCATTTTAATAGTCCCCTGCTTTCTTCGAAAGGCGGGGGACAAAGATCAGGTAGACTAGGCCGATGGGCATTGCGACTGCAAGGTTATAAGTTTAGGATTAAACACATTGCAGGTACGAGAAACATTGTGGATGATTGCTTATCCAGACGGGAATACGACAAGTAAATGAGAAACCAGCTGAACCCGACGCACATATATTCAGTACATCATGCGAAGCCCCATCCCTAACTTCGATCACGTTTGAATATGAAAATGATAACAAAGATC